TATTATAATATAATTCAAATAACACAAAAAAAAAGTTAATATCTTATACACATAACTTAATATTAAATATTAAATATAATTTTTAAATATATTATAATATTATTTTTTAAAATAAAAAGCATTTTTTCTATTTTAAAGTGTAATTATTTTTATTATTTTTACTATTATTTTGTTTTTCAGAAATAGTTCTAAAGATATTTAAAGATATAAATATAACATTCTAAAATTAAATATTCATTTACGATTTCGTGATTATCAAATGTACTTCTAGTCTCATAAATTAAAATATCATTGAAATAGAAAACATAGAAATAGAAAACATATTAAAAAATATAAATTGAATATCTTCATTTGTGAAGTTTAATTTTCTATTAAATAATAAAAGTTATTTGTATGTATACATTGTTAAGAAAAAATTGCCTTGGTATTAAGAAGTCGGCTAAAAAGGGAAGGGAAATGGTGACCCGGTGTCCCAAGATTGCCACATTTATCACCGTCCTAGATGCAAGTTGTAATACACGTAACTCGTATAACTCATAGGAAGTGTGCACCTGCATTTTGTTACGGGTCGCAGCTTGTCGAGCATCGTTAGTCCATTTTGCAACTTTCGCTAATTTTAGTGGGCGCGGCGAAATTGCACGAATCACAGTGTCTATTAGTTTTTCACGTCTATATGTATACAATCACATGTCAATCTAACTGTAACATATCATTACAATATTATTACATTAAATTACTTAATTAATAAATTAAGATGAATTATGATAAAAATATATTTGTTACAATAAAAATTTTTCACTCTCAGGCAATTATTTATGTAACATTAATTTATTTAAATATTATATATAACTTAATTTTTTGTAATATTTTAATATAATACATTATATTCTTAATTATAATTATGTATTCAATAAATATGAATTAATTTAGTATAATTTAGTAGATAGTTTTTGTGTTACTCAATATTATCTTTAGACACATGTTTTCCATATCCAACATTACACTAGTATTTTGAATGTTAATATTGGACTTGTATTTTCAATACTAACGTAGTACTTGCACCTAATTTCAAATATTTTATCTGACTTTCAAGTCAAGACTTTTTTTGAGTAAACATTCTTGATAAGCAACGAGCATGTTTGAATTATAAAACTATGAATTATAAGACTATGAAAACTGTGAAAAATTCAAGCTAAACTAGCTTTATAAAATTATATATTAGATGTGAGAAAAAGTTCGTGGCGTTTTTCCCGTTAGATGTAAGATGGAAAAATGCCACGAACTTTTTCCCACACCTAATATATATATATATATATATATACATGTGTGTGTATAAGGTATTCTAGACTTATCGTGGCAATCGGAACTCGCAACCTTGCTTCTAGAAAGGTTAAATGTAAATGGTTAGATCCATAAATAAGAACCAATCACTCGGTGAGCAAGCTCCAAAACTCATTGAAAAAAAAGTGTTGCAACCGTTCTGTCCACTGTACGTTGCGCAATAGTGAAGATGTTTTCAAATATCAACTCTATTCTCTTCTATTCTCTTACAATATTTTAAACACTTTCACTATTGTATATGGTGTCATGCCTAAGCGCACAAATTTTGGGCAACTTAATCGAATAATTTTAAAAACTCTTCTCATTTAAAAACTATTATAGCTTCGACATTTAATATTAAAATATTTGTCTCGAAATGATCTTAGGAATTTTTCATTAACGGTTGTCACAGTAAGTCTGTGACACCCTATATATAATATACCTTTTGCAGAATTAAAATCAAATCTATTTAATATCATTTATTTAAATTTAATCTTACATTTAAAAAATGAATTCTTTAAAATTTAGAAAAGGAAGGGCTACAATTTAAAGAAACTGTTTAATAATTAATAATCAAACAATGAATATTTATAAAATCCTCAACAAACATTTTAATTTCAATCGCATTTTCAATGTTAAAAGATAATTAAATGTAGATATAGGTAGTACAAAAGTAATATTAAAATAATAAGATGAAAGTCTGTAATTAAACTTACAAAATTAAGAAAGTATTAATTCGCTGTTACAAATATATTTATTTGAATTTTAAATAGTTTCATAGTTTTAATTCTCGTAGGTATATATAATATAGTCGCATTAATAGTCGCAAAATAATAGCCTATAAATTGATAGTAAAGCAGTCAAAATCGTCAAAAATCATGAGATGACAAAATGATAATTTGCAGACTGTTGTCAAAAAAAAGTAACTCCATAACATTTGCAATTATGAAAATGTAATTTATTGTCAGCAAACTAAGCAGAATGCACAAATTTCATAATATAAAAAACAATTAGTTATAAGATATTTAACGTTATCAACCTTCACTATAAACAAATTTCTGAATATCAGAATTAAGTAATGATGTCATGTAATACGTTATAAAATTGAAATGGACCATTGTCTTCAAATTATTACTTTGCATTTCATGATTTTTTTAACGAGTTTTATCATTACGATTTATTGACTGTTTGCAGTTATAAACTACAAGAACTGTGAACGAATATATGTAAAAGCGAACTATAAATTATAAATTAATTTTTATAATTTTGAAAATGTTGTTATAGAATTTCAACTATTGTTTTAATATTGTATTAACATTTTGTACTGCATCAAATAATTTAATTATCTTTTAAAAATCATTCAATTGCGGTTGCAATATTGATGTTTTTATAAGTATTCATTGTTCGATTATCAAGCATTAAACAACTTACGTGACTGATAGCTCTTTTTTTCTTAATTTTTGAATTTCAAATATTTGAGCATAAATCTAATAACTTAATGTTTTAATTTTCTAAATTTTCAATTTAAAAAATTATTTAATATATGAATGCGTTAATATTTCATATTTATGCTAAAGTGTATCTTGTGAAATTATTGATTAGTTAAATATTAGGTGTCTAACTTGTCTTCCGCCGTTTTTTTTCCGAAATTCGAGGCTTTATTGTAAAAAACTGGTTATACATTTATGATTCAAAGTATTGTCAATCGCTGGCCACTACTTTCTCCCATCTTTCGGGTAGCGTACGAATCCCACGTCGAAAAAACTGGTCATCTTTTGAGGCTATCCACGAATCGATCCAATTTTTTACTTCTTCATAAGACCGGTGGCTGACCATAAGTGCTGGTCAGCCAGGCCGTGTGTCATTGATCGAAACAAGTGATAGTCAGAGGGAGCAACGTCTGGAGAATACGGCCGAGCTCCCACCAAATACAGAGCATGACCTTGGAAAATCACGTCAAAACCCCACCGTTCTTGAAGCGTTGAAACCACTCACGTCACGTTCTTTCACTAATAGCGGCCTCACCATAAGTATTTGAGAGCATTCGATGAGCCTCAGCCGCAGATTTCTTCATATTGAAGCAAAAAATTAAAACCTCCCGCAAATGACGAGAATTTGGCTCGTAAACTGACATTTTCAATCGAGAATAACTTTATGATGCAGACACAAATCGACTAATGTTTCTATGGGATTATGTTGACAGATGCCCAAGTTTATTCTATGACGTCTATGATCTATTTATTTCGACCACTTACCGCTAAAGCCATCTATAGGAAAACGGCGGAAGCAAAGTTGTACACCTAATATATGTGTTAAGCATGTTTTAATCTAATAATAAAGTAAAATATAATTTATCAAATAATAAAAAGTAAGGATAGTAGATTTTGTTAAATACATTTTTTCCACGTATATGCTTTACTTTCTCTTACAAATCAATTTTCCGTGTTTTTTCATATCATTTTTTCCTAATATCTCGATATATGCGTTGCATGTCTTGCATTTTATGCTATTTTATTACATATTAGAAATGTTATCAAAATTGAACAAAAATTGTTACATATGTTTCTTTTTATAAATTTAATAAAATATTAGGTATAGGAAAAAGTTCGTGGCGTTTTTTTAATGCCATCTAACAGGAAAAATGCCACGAACTTTTTCCCACGCCTAATAATTGTTTTCTAATATTTTCTAGTATTGAAATTATCAATTTAAATGTATATATAAAGATCATTAATTTTCATTTCGATAATTCAATTTTTGATTTTTTTAAAACTCTTCTAAAATTATTTAATGTTGTAATTAAAAAGTTTGCTTTATTTTTAGTATATTTATATGATAATAAATTGTTGCATATATTTCCTATCTCTTATCCTTATTCTCAAGTGAAATGCGATATATGTTGTACTAGTATAAATAAAAAACAAGCAATAATATGAAAGAGAATTTTGTGTGTTAAAATCTGTAGTGCAAAAATGTATTCCTCTTACATCAAAAAATTAGATCTGTGATAAATTTTAAATATTATATATATAAATGATATAAAACGTAGAACCGATATGTCTATTGACTCATATATCTATAGTTCGAAACATACTATTGTAAGCATAATGAAGTTGCAGTACTAATCCTTTCTTATATTCCGTGACACTTCACCCTTATTCATAGATCATAGTAATGATGGAAAAATTTGTTACGCAATTAATTTCTCTGCATACGCTACATTTGGATTGCAACTCCAGCAAGAAATTACGAAACGTTAACGTCGACTCAGTACATACATCGGCTACGAAATGCACTTCGAAATAGCGGGTGAATTGCGGCCGTATTGCCGGTTCCTTTCGCTTTCCAGCCCGACTGCAAAAGATTGAGAAAATAACAGTGGTATTTGGCCAAGTGCATACGGGTCCATGAATCTATTTGAGTGAAAAGCTAAGAAAGAAGAGTAGGAGGGAAAGGACGAGTCTGGTGAAAAGACCGATATTGGTGCACGATTTCTCACGAAATAAAAATCAACGAACGTCCAATCGTCACTACTGCTTATCCAAGGCTGGACCAATGGTCGGCAAGTAGCACGAGGCTATCAACCAGTCGAATGTAACAGCACCGTCAACCAAGTTAGTTGGTGAAACCTTCGAGCTGCGGCTATCACATCCTTGATCATTATCAATCGACACCTCCTGCAGTCGTCAAATAAACTTTGGTCTTCAACTAGGTTGACTATCATGTACACTTCCATCATTTATATCTGGTAAATTGTCATTTTCATATTGTACATATTATCTTTAATTATAAGAGTATTAAGAATATTTATTTTAGATCACATATGTAAGAAACACAATCAATACTAAAAATTTAAAATGCCTATTACGTTTTTCCGGACTTATAAACGCAATTAAAATTACTCTAGTAATCGCAAAAATAAATTGACAAGCAAAAATTTTAATAATTTGATGACTATCAAGCATCATATTATAAAGATGTTAATATATTGAAACTATTAATAAATTTATTGCGAAAAATTTATTACCTCGACCGGAACTTGAATTCGGATCTCTTGTATTCCGTACGAGCGTCCTAAGCCATTAGATCATCGAGGCCTTAGTAATATTCTTTGTAATAATCGATATAATAAAGAAATAACGTTTTCATTTATGTGCGGTGATTAATAGGTACATGTTAAATATAAAAACAAAATTTTGCTCGAACATGTTATGTTGATTTTACAGTTATTGAAAAATATGGAAATATTTCTTTTCAATTCGTAGTAAAAGTATGAAAAATTCCATATAATTAAAATACTTTACTAATTATATTGATTAATAAAATCATTTTTTCTATTAAGATATTAACAAAATAATTTTTTTTTATAAAACAACTTTGCAATCGAAAACAGAGATATATTAAGAAAAACTTATTAAGAAAAACGGAGGAACTTACAGAAACTTATTTATTAAGAAAATTTTATTCATAATTTCTTGTTTAATTTATATTATTCAAATTATTATTTTCATTAACTTTTTTGCACGCTGCGGTTTCTTTATTTTCTATTATTTTCTCACCTCTTTGTTCTTATAATCATATTCTTGTCCAGTTTCTCTCTTTTTATTTCACATAACTTATTTATTTAATGATATAATATATCATTAAAAAAAAAGAAGACAACTTTTAAAAAGTATTTTCAAATCATTTATATCATTCGTAAAATAATTTTATAATTCTTTTAATCTTGATTTGAATATGTTATCCTCTTTGAGTTATCTACACATTTCTTTTATAAAAGTGAAAGAATATAATTGTAATACTTATGACATATAATATATAAACTTCACATATTTTTGTCTTCAAAAAAATTAAATATACTTAATGTACATTTTATTCTTTATAAACATTTTTATCATTTTCATTACTAAAAAAAAATTGTAAATCTCAAAAAACTATGTATGGAGTTTTATTAATTAATGCAAGACTTTTACTGATCGTATTTTGATCTTTATAGTATAACCTATATTAAATGGATGCAATGAATAATTAACAACTTCTTTACCTTTTTTATTCAGAGGCCGTTTTATTATGATATATAAATTCTGCACGTATGTTAGGCATGATTATTTATCTTTGTTCTTTTTTTATAGCAAGTAAAGATCTACTATTTATGTGTTGAATTCTGTAAAAAAAAATTCATTAGATTCTTCTATCATAAATATTTATTAATTATGTTTAAATACTTTATCTTGTTTGATCTCATTTTTAATACAACTACTAATTGTAAGTTAAAAATACAATAATAATACATTTTGTATTTTTGATTAATTCTCAATTAAAATCAATTAAAAGTAAATGTATTTAATGTAATTTATACATTTTTAATATTATTTTTTATAATACATCTATTCTCTCTTCTCTTATTTTTAAGAAATATTTATCCAGTATTTTAAAAAGCTGTATATTTTGTTAACCTTTTTTTACTCAAACAAACGTTTTCATTTTTAATTTCCTATCTCCACTAGTTTAAACATTTTTCATCTGACTGCAAAAGTTTTTATCAAGTTTTTATGCCAACATATATAATTATGATTGTTTACTTTGAAGTAATTGTTATTTCATTACTTTCTTTTATTAAAATTTTTATTTTTATTTTTTTATAAAGTTATTAAAATAATTTATTATCCTAGCGGAAAAATTTGTACTAAAAAGTACAGGAAAACTACTATATTGAGAAAATTTTAGAAATTCTTAGTCTTTCGTAAATATTCATAGTGATTCGTAGTGATGCTGTTTGTCTTAAAAATTTTGAGTTCTTTGTAACTATTTATAGTGAGACACAGAGAACATGATGTTGTTTGTTTGAAAAATTAAGAAATCCTATGTCTATTCCATAAAAATTAATAATAATCAGAAAACGTACTCTGTATGTAAACGTAATCTGTATGTATTTTTACGAAACTCTATAGAAATTCAACTATCATAATATTGCATATTTTTCCGCATTTACACGTTGTTTAATATTAAAATTTGTTCCTTATTCATAGAAATTTTCCGCCTATAAAGTACTTTATTATCCATATTTACTTCTTTAAAAATAACATTATATCTTTTTTTTATGCAAAAGTTTTAATATTAAAATAATTTTTAAATGGAAGTCAAAATTAATTAATCAGCCTTAAAGTTCGTATAATAAAATAAAAAAGCATTTAGATTCCATATTTCACTTTTAAATAGTAACATAAATGCATACAGTGATATCGGAACTCGTCGGCTGTTGCATTTATTTAATTCATTTGCTATATGTTCGCTCATAATATATAGCTGAAATATAAATTTTATGTAACACTAATTGCATAAATATTCTATGATTCCATTGATAAAATGCGATGCATATATTAAATTCTTGAAGTTGTCATGTGTCACGAATATGTTATAAACAATTAATATTTTTTGTATGATAAAATAATTTTAATCGACATTAATCGATAAGTTAATATTTGAAAACAGTTTGCACGTTATGTCGTGCTTGAACAATTTATATTTCCATTTAAAAATTATTACAGTTTCAATATTTCGGTTACAATTTCGTCTTAAAATAATGACAGAAAGCTATTTTTATAAATAATACAATAAATCTAGAATACATTTTATATTAAAGAAACTAGCTTTATAACCATTATAGCAATCATATATAGCAATCATTTTACATTTCGAAACGAAAACAGACCTTCAGAAATTTTATTAGCTTATTAATATTAATAACTGAAACTATCGATTAATGATCTTTTATTTCAGTATGGCCTGCGCACTTCTTACTGTAGCCTTCGCCGAGATACGTGAGTAATGTATAAATATTAAAGTATGTATGCTCTGTGTGTTTGTGTTTGTGTATGTGTGTGTGTGCGTGTGTTTGTGTGTGTGTATGTTTGTATATGTGTGTGTGTGTTTGTGTGTGTGTGTGTGTGTGTATTTATGTATGTGTGTGTGTGTGTGTGTGTGTGCGCGCGCGCGTGTTTGTGTGTGTGTGTGTGTGTGTGTGTGTGTGCTGCGTTCGAATGTTTACAGATTATATTCATAAATATAATCTGTAGTATTAGGCCCTTCAGAAATAAAATATAAGTTAATATTGCAATATTAAATAAATATATAAAATATATTTATTATATAGGTAATACAATAAGTTAAACGTCAACCATTTTTGGATATATAAATTGAGTTTAATTAATTATAATGTATATGTATGTTCATTTTCATATTTAAGTTATAGAAAATATTAATTTTAATTACAATTAGTTGTATCCAATTTATGTATCAATGAAAACCTAAAAATAAAAATAAAATAATAGTTATAAAATAATATGTTATTGTATCGTAAAATTAAAGAATAGATGAATTATTTATTTATCTAATCATTAAGTTATCAAAACACATGTATGTTACGTTACATGATATACACCCGGAGAGAATTATCTTTTAAAATTCATCCTGAAAATATGGTAGTTGTGGTACAATATTTTACATTTTTTGTGGTACAATATTTTAAAGATTTTTTTTAATGCACTTCAGTACAATTAATCAAACTTATTTTATATTTTATTGTAGTTTTATTGTAGTTTTAATGAATGAGAAAAATTTACACAAAATGCTTCGAACAATGTCTCAGAACAATAGTCCCAGAACCACATTTTCAAGGTAAACTCTAAGAAAAAATTCTCTTCATGTATGTTAGAAGAAGTTTTTCATCTTTAAAATGATAATAAGACTTAGCTTAATGTGTATTACATTAACAACAATAATAAAAAAATATTTTATTTACGTGAAGATTTAATATGATTTGAGATATGAGTTTTTTGTATAAACCTATACTCTATCATTTTACAATTTTCGTAATAGTTAATAAGATATTAATTGTTAAAACAAGAGAGAAAAGTTGGTCTTCAATAATTTGTTATTTCAAATACTATCAATTTCACAGAAAAACTGCAAGAGACAAAAATTGTTTATTTTTCTCATAGAACTATAAAAATTTTTTCAGGATTTTTTTCAGAATTTTTTAATACCTTTAATATTTTTTCATAAAAATGATTGATAAAAATAAGTTGATAAAAATAAGAAAATGTAGTACTAAAAAGTTGATAAAAAATTCTGAAAAAATTTTTAGACTTCTATAAGAAGAAAATAAATAATTTTTATTTTTGCAGTTTTTCTGTAAAATTGATAGTATTTGAATAAAGAATTATTGAAGATCAATTTTCCAATTTTAATATTTAGTAATTAATATTTTGTTAACTTTTGGGAAAATTGCAAAATGTAGTACTAAAAAGTTGATAAAAAATTAAGTAAAGAACTTTTCGATTCAGTCTGCTCTACCTGTCCATAAAATATTTGGCAATTATTTTAGAACATCCTGTATATACGAAACATTTTATTAGGACAAATGCCAATCAAATATTTGGTTAATATAATCAAAAAATAATGTTACATTTACAAATATTTAGTAAGTATTACTAAATGGTAACAGTTTGGTAATACTTATTAAATATTTGTAAAAGTAACATTATTTTTGATTATATTAACCAAACATTTGATTGACATTTTTTCATCATACATTTAATAGCTATTATCAAATTCTAAGGTTAACCACTGCTAAAAAGTATCACTAACATACAATGATTGATAATTATAGCAATACATTTTATTGCTATTATATTGTTGATATTGTTATCCTATGTATTGCTATCTATTGCGCGCAGTATATTATATATTAATGTATTGCTATGTATGTACTACTACGTATTGCTAGCGTATTAATAGTACTACTACTGAGCATTGCCTGTTTCATTACTGTACTGTCGCAATATATTTCTAAAGAAATGTATACTGATTGCCAGTGATTGATCCCTCTTTTTTCAGTGTATAATGATAATAATAATAAAAAATAATAAAGATGCTCATAATACACGACCATGCATACCTATCCGAAAAACTTCCATGTCTAATAAATCAATAATGGTTTCGCGATTTTATGAAGTTAGAATGGCTCAATATTGTTTACTTTACAAATATTAACATGCAAAACAAAATAATACCTTATCTCAATGTAAATTGGGGACTTCATGAAGTTAAAAGAAAAAAACATAAGAAATAAAAAAATAACATACCTACTTATTTAATATGATGAATATCCGAAGTACATAAATATAGATCAAACTTCGCAGCATATTGGAATGTCGCGAAGACAGATGCATCTTTTTACAACAGTTGACATTACTAATACCAATTATTACAGAAATATGAAAGGTGCTTATATTATTTGCTCATAATACCGATCCTATTCTCGTTAATATCCTGTATTCAGTATTGATTTTTATCAAACCCGAAAAATAACAACCAAATTCCAGGTTATAATTTTAAATATATATATTTTATATTACCTAATTCAGTAAATTATTATTTAATATTCAAAATTTATAAAATTAAATTTTTATTTTACAATTTTTTGTCTGTAATTGCGTTTAAAGTAATTTATCTAATAGAATTATGTATGTATATTTAAACACTAAAATACTTTTAAAATTAAAATTAAAAGGAAACCTCCATTTACATAACTAGTTTTAAATTTTAGTTGAGTTAAAATTTAAAACTAATCATCGATCATAATAAGTACTAATATCCATTTGTCAAAACAATTAATTATTATTAGTAACTTTAGAAGAAAAAGTACATAAATCAAAATCATGATTAATTTTTGCTAAAAAATTTATAAAATAATTTAGAATCACGATTACTAATTAAATACTCTCTCTTCATCTTATTTTTTTAAATTGCATAATAAAACACCAAATATATTTTCGTATAAATATATAATACTTCAATTCATTGCAATTAGCAATGCTTTTTGAGGTAAATAATACAATACACAATTAATATATCGGTCTACATAAGAGAATATCAAAACATTTCATATTTTTTTAACATTACATTACATCTTTTACTCTCGTTTCCTCTTTTTAAATCTTCTAAATCTTTTGTATGTAAATTTTTTAATTTACTTTGTCTTATTAGGTATAAATGTAATTTCCTTTTTTACCTTAATGCATTTATTGCTTGAAAATGATTTTAAAGGTAAAGATTTATTTAAAGTTGTCCAAAAACTCGATAAACAATACGTTTATTAATTTTATTTCAATTTTATTCAGATTTATCATATTTTTTAATATAATGTATATATTAATAAATTATAAATATATAAAAACATGATTTTTTGCACTATGGAAAAAAACTACTTTAACTAATAGCAATCATTATTATCTTATTCTCTATCTCTCATATGAATATTGTATTATTTGTTGTAAGATTTATAAAATATTATTAGAATATAGTTTTAGAGTAACTCTGGAAAATATGCCGATTTGGGATTTACGTTGCAGAAGTCAGAAAAAATAGAAGGAGTGGGGATAAGTTTTCCGCAATTACTCTCATGTCTTTATGTTATATTAATATTGTGTTATGATTTTTTCAGTTTCTTTCTGTTAATATTATTGTGAGTTGAATTTATCATTGTGATTTATCACTGTGTTAAATAGCGCCATCATAAATTATAATCTAAAATGGTTACTGTAAGACGTGCAAAAAGACTTAATGATTATTTCGTGATACATGCGTATAGAGGAGTAGTAAAGTATTCTTTGTTTAATTTATTGTCTTATATATCTTACCTGTTTGGGATGTATAACATTTTTAACAAACGGGATTTATGTCCAAAGCATACAAAGCGCAGATTGAATTCAGTGCACTAAATACAATAAATGCATTACATAAAATATGTACCTCACGTCATAACACTTGTAATACATCTGGGAAGATTGTAATTATTATTTATTATTTCATATACATATTTATCATTCTTATTTCTTAATAAAACTTTACAAACTCATTTTATAAATTATTATGTCATTTTACGTCTTATTTATATGCATTATTTGTAAATTTTTATGAACCATACCTCCTCCCTCCCCCTATGAGTAGCCATATATCTCATTCCTATGGGATATACGGCAAGAATTTTAAAAAATTCATTTTTTAATACAAAATATAAATATTTCAAATTTCTAATATTTTTTTTATAATAGTAGACAAAGTTTTTACTGATATAGTTTGTTTACTTTAAACATAGTAAATAATACTTAATAAATTAAGTTTTTGATAGGTATGGCGTATATACCGGAGTTATTTTATACTTTAGAGGAAATTCATAAATCAATTCTGTGTTTTTTTCAGCATCATTCATAAAAATATGTAATCGCAAGGATCCAGAGATAAATAATTGTGTATTAAATTCAATTGAACAATTACGAAGCAAATTAAAGACAGGAATTCCAGAATTAGAGGTTCCAGCAATAGAACCGCTTACATTAAAACATATACGATTATTAAGAGGTCCTCAAGCTGCAAGGCTTGATGTCAATCTTACAAATATACAGGTAATTATAAAGCTTGTGTTCTTATTATTTATAGCATAATTTAGAATGTATGCATATGTGTATATGTAAAGATTTAATAGAAAGAAGAAACTGTAAATATTGTCTATAAATATTAATTGTCTACAAATTATAAATAATGTTTTATTCATCAAAAACACATAAACATGTATATAGTCAGTGGCAATTACAATTGTTAATTGTAAATAATTTATTGCAAAAAATTAAAAATTAAAGTTACATTTTAAAAATACATTATATGCATTAAATTACTTAGTATAGTATCCAATCGTTATTATTATTTATTATCATCGAGACATAATAATATACTTTCTATGAAATTTACATCCGAAGATTAAGAAAGCCAATCCATCGATAGATGTCACGTTTGCAAAATTCTTATAAGAAGCACATCTCGTGAAAAGTAAGACAATAAGTTATAATTAATAATAATGATTGAAGTTTTAAGTAAATGATGCATTTTAATGAAAATGTACTTTTATTATTGTTGTTGTTGTTGTTGTTGTTATACTAAAAAGTAATTTTACAAAAAAAAGAACGATGTATGAACATGTATGGATATATTTGTTCTTCTTCTTCTTACGTTAGGCCTCTGGCCTATGTTATACTTCTCTCATATGCTTATGATGCGCACGCTGGTTGTTCATTGCCACGAGCATATGAGATCTACAGTTTTAATACCAATTTCGAATAGCGAATTTTTCGAGAGGTATTTCTATGGGCAAGGAAGGTTACCGGTCTTTTCCGAGGAAAGACATGAGTGTAAATATTTTAGTTCCTACTGGGATCGCGAACTCGGGACCTCTGGATAGACCAGTGCACTGCCATGCCACGCTCGTGCTCGATATATTTCAGATAAGATTATATATATTTAAAAATATTTGTGTTTACACATATTTATACATATTCATACATGAAAAATTTTTTACCAAAAAATATAATATTTATTAATAAAAACTTACTATTCATTAGATATTTGGGCCGTCAACGTTTAAAATTCGAGATCTAAAAATTGACCCGGAGAATGTGTTTATTACTTTCAAAATTGGCTTCGATAAACTTGACTTCAAAGGAAAATATCAAATAAATGCACAAATTCTTTTGCTCAACATAATTGGAGAAGGAGATCTCACTGGAATTTTCCGTAAGTCTTAATATTTTTATGGTTATTCAAATATTATGTATGATAACGAAATTATTTCGAAATTATTCACAAAGAAAGATAATACCAAAAATTTACAACAATATTCTCTGTTTACTTATTACATATTTTGCAGTTGATTACGATAGCGACTGTTTGATGAAAAGTCAGAAAATTGTTAAAAATAATAAAACATATGTGAACTTTGAAAAGATGAAAATTAAAATCAAAATAAACAAAGCTGTACTCAATTTTAACAACCTATTTGGTGGCGATTCTGTTCTTGGTATGTTATTATTTCATACAATATATCTTTGTATTTTGAGAAATTTATTAAAAGTATAAGCGTCATTACATATGATTTTCTTTCTTTTAAATCAGGATCAGCGAGCAACGAAATTTTGAATGCAAATAGCGACTTCTTAATAGATGAAATAAGACCAATACTGGAAGATAGCTTGTCAGATCTCTTCACAAAAATCGCAAACAAGATCACCTTAAAGTTCACATACGATGATTTGTTTCCGAATGATTAATCTTTTTACTCTGAGGATCCAATAATTCAATTAGATTGATACGTTGTCTTTTCTTTATTCTAAAGTTTTTAGATTTAGATGTTATTCTTCTTATTTTTGGAAATTTCCTTATCTAATAACAAAATTTTAATCAAACTATAGCAGTTCTGTAACATTTTTACAGTTCTCTTTTTTAAATGATATCTCATAATACATACATAATTAATATAATATACAAGCCCATATTACATTTAACTGTTTGAAATTGATATTTCAATTGTTTTACAGAAATTACAATAAAACAACTTTTTTGCAATGTATCTTTTAAAAAAATTATGCATTAACATCTCAATAGATGGTCTAGTTATTGTACTTTAATCTCAAGTTTATTATCAATAATCTATTAGGAGTCAAAGAGAACTATAGAGAAAAAGGTGATATTGTATAACTACAGTATAGATAACTACAGTATAGATAATGGCCCTTCTTATCTTTTCTATTAAATGGCAAATTCTAATGATTACTTATAAAATTATTTGCTTAGTAGCTCGCTGTTACATCATCACGCTAATGTTTCAATACACAATAATCAACATTTATTATAACGCTTTTACCTTCAAACATTTTGAAAAGTTTTTAACATTTACAATTTAGCATTTAATTACACATAGCATTTAATTCCTCATTCTTCTTAAACTTGAACTTATTATCATATGAATATATATATGTTTGATTGTGTTCTTTGTTCTTATTTAACATTTTATTTGGCTGTATAAACATTTCGAGTTAAACAATAGAAAAGTTAAACAATAGAAAGTCATTTTGCTACTATGGTCCACTAAGCGTACTGATTGCTAACAGCTTTTATTCAAGATTTTATCTCGAGATTTTATATAATCTAAATAATTATTTCATAAATCAATTGTAGCTCTACTATTAATCTACTATTAAGCTATAATTTTTATATTACATTTATATAAAGTTTTAGTACTGAGTAACTTATATATAGAAAGAGTTAAGTGTACATACATTTTTTTGTATAACTTGAATACATTCTATGATATTTTACTTTTTTGTTAATTTTAGATAATTGTGTATTACACGGGACGCAGCTCCTATATATTGTCAAGATCATGACCCTGAATGATCTCCAACAAGTTTTTACCGGTGCTCATTATTCGAAAAAAAGTTACTTATAAAAAAGTTTAAGAAATAACGTTTCATTTTTGCTATATACAATATTAAAAAGTATTTTTCCCCCTTCTATCTAGAAACCTTCGACTTTCCACGCAAAGCAAGATCTATTAGCATGAAAAGTCGTGCGTCTCTAGACACAGGGAAGATACTGGGATGGAACTCGTTTCGCAGAAAATCATTACGTAAACAGGAGAGGCTGTAGGAATAGTTCTTAGTATCTTATATGTAACAAAAATAAGAGATGGCTATGTTTATCTACAAAACAATTGTCTACAGCTTTGTTTGCACACAGCGCATTGCATACATGACAATATTGCATACAGCGCATTGCACATACGACAATATTGCACACACGATAATATTGCAATATGCTGTGTGCAATATTGTCCTGTGTACAAATATGCTATGTGCAATATTGTCGTGTGTGCAATATCCTGTGTGCAATACCGTGCTATGTGTAATATTGTGGTGTATGTAATGTGCTGTGTATAATATTGTCGCGCGTACAAATGCTATGTGCAATATTGTCGTGCAATACGCTGTGTACAATATTCTCGTGTGTGCAATATTGCTGTGTGCAATCAAAGCTGAAGGCAATCGGTTTGTAGACAAACGAGATTCTTCCCAAAAATAAGATGTTATTTTTCAAACTTTTTTTATTAATAATTTTTACTGAATAATGAGTAGCTAAAACCTGTTAGAGGTGACTCATGATCTCGATAACATATGGTATATCAGGATTAATCGGAGCTGGGTCCCTTACAGTGCACAATTATCAATTTTAGAACCAAATACTATTTTGTTTTAAACAAAGCTATTGTTTTAAATGTATTTTTGTGGATGGCCATATCATTCTGTTTCTCTTCGAATCATTATCCAGTAACATCACATTTTTATAAATAATGTCCTAAGTAATAAATGTTTCGTAACCTTGAATTTAGAATCGATTGAACAACATTTTGACAAATGTAATTGTTACATTTTAAATTTAAATATCGATTATTAAACAAGTTATTGTACAAAAATGTAAAGGGTGTCACCTTTATAATATCACCTTTTTTAATGTCACATAATTCACAATGTACAATTCCTAAAGAAATATTTTAGATATTGTAATTAAGTTTTTATTTACAAATTTAGCGTCTAAAACTCGGTAAAAAATTGTTTATGCATGAATACACATTATATATAAAACATAAACATGTATAAATATTCATAAATATATATAATTACAAATAAAATATATATGTTCATACATCCTTTTTATATTGGGAGTACAAATAAGTTTCCGCCGTTTGCAAAAGACGGCGCCACTAATAAACTATAGTTAAAATTGTTTGATGTAAAACGACATATCGTAAAATTGGACAACACCATAAACTTGAAATATTAGCGATTTTGTATCAGCATCATATATTTTTTTTTGTACGAAAATGTCGAGTTTTGAGCCGAATAAGCGTCATTTGCGGGAATTTTTGATTTACTTCTTTAATTTGAAGAAATCTGCAGCTGAGGCTCATTGCTTGTAGAAGCATATGGTGATACTGCCTTAAGTGAGAGAAGTTGTCGTGGTTTCAAAAATTTAAGAATGGTGAATTTGACGTCGAAGACAAAGAACGTAGCAGAAGACCGAAGACGCAGAATTGAAAGCATTGGAGGCGTTGAACGCCGATTTTTCACATGTGAAATGCTGCTTGCCAGGCATAAACGAAAGAGTTTTTTGCATCGTATAGTCACTGGTGATGAAAAATGGATCCACTACGATATCCAAAGAAGAGAAAATCATGGGGACCACCTGGCCATGCTTCAACATCGACAGCCAAGTCGAATATTCATGGAAAAAAATTCACTTGTGTATTTGATGGGATCAGCTTGGCATCGTGTATTATGAATTACTCAAACCGAAGGAGACCATTACTGGGGCTCTCTACCGAACGCAATTGATGAGATTGAGCCGAGCACAAGGAAAAACGCGCCCATTACTACTCCAGGCATGACAAAATTATTCTCCTGCATGATAATGCTCGACCACATGTTGCGGCGCCGGTCAAAACCTATTTAAAAACACTCAAATGGGAAGTTCTATCCCACCCGCTGTATTCTCCAGACATTGCTTCTTCCGACTACCACTTGTTCCAATCGATGACGCATGGTCTGTCTGAGCAGCACTTCACATCATATGAAGATAAAAAATTGTATCGATGATTGGAGCTTCAAAAGATGAAGTGTTCTTCCGACGCGGTATCCACATGTTATCAGAAAGATGGAAAAAAGTAGTGGCTAGCGATGGCCATTACTTTAAATAAAACATTATGTACCGTTCTTTCACAATAAATGCTTAATTTTTGAAAAACGACGGAAACTTATTTGTACTTCCAATTAATATGTTTATATCTATATATATTCATAAAAAAATATTTATCAGACAAGTATAAAGGTACCTTTTCATGCCGATGCTCAACGCTCATTTCTGGCATCAAAATAAATCAGGTGATAGAAATTGACGAATATCAAGCATCAATTTTGATCATAATTTGACTTATTTTGACGCTAAAAATGAGCGTCGAGCATCAGCATGAATAGACATAACTTTTATGAGTTACTTATTTTTTAAAATAACTATTTCAATAGTTGAATTGTTTTATTAGTTTGCACATTAAAAGCTTTAAATGTAATTAAGATGCATTTTGTTAATATTTAAGACATAGAAAAAGTGTCGGAACTTTCAAAGCTTCGCAACAAAACTTTTATCAAGAAAAGATTTCAAATAGAAATTTGTCAATTTTAGAATAAAAATTTGCAAATAATTTTATTACATTTCTTATAATAAGAAATTAACACATAATTCTTATTTATAAAAATTAACATTTATCTATATAAAGATTATGCGTTTCGCGGGTTTCTTCTGTAAACTGCAAGGTTCACGAAACGTTGGCATTTCAAGAATGGATCTGGAACATCTGAACATCTGGAAGAAACCCGCGAAACGCATAATCTTTATATAGAAAGGACCCGTGGAAGTCTCAAGAATATTAACATTTATTTATATACAAATATGCAAAATTTTGTAAATGTATATATAAGTATATAAAATTTCTTACACATGTCATTCTAAATAGAAATAAAACTTTGTTGAAATTCTGAAGTAAAAAACAGACAAATTTTGGACAAATGAGAGAATAAAGATAGAAATTGTAGCGTAATATTCTTACAATATCATCTTTCAACATAATAGTTCGAACCTTTATGTATATGAAGACATTAATTTATATTAAAAACTAATTGTAAGTATATTATGCTAGCATTTCTGCGTTTACACTCTCATTTGAATAAAATGACATGTTATATTCTTTTATTGAAATTAATTATAAAATTTGTATTTAAAACATTTATTTCAAAATTTTTTCATTGTTGAATATTTGAGAATTTTGAAACGTCTCTTTTTGACACTTTTTTCGCAATTTGTATATAAACAATATTTTAAAAGAAAATGTTAAATTAAAAAATATTTCATTTTTTTATAAAAATAAAAATATGAAAAAATGTTTAAGTTAAAGTTTATATTAACCGACCCATACAGCACAAATCTCAAATCATCCTACATTGTTAGAAATGTAACCACGAACTTCCTTTATATGTAACTGAAATTCGTAGTTATAAATGAAATTAATAGTAATCAATAATTTAACTAAAAATTAATTTTACAATAATTACTTAAATAATAAACGTGTACATTAAATTTTATAATTTTCCATGAAAAATACATTAAATTTCATGTACATGTACACAAATATACTTTTCAGTTATAAATACATTAAATTTAA